TACTATATCATGAAAATCAGTACTTAATAGTAATTGTAGGATGCAGGGAACAAGGGTTCCATCTAGTGAAGAATCTTGGTACTGCAACTGCAGGATGGTCAGCTATAGTTTCATATGGATGGTGTGGTGTTAATTTTTCATAAACCTGATATCATGTACTTCACGTCAGATGAAGTGACGTCTAGTTTATGTAAAATACTTTGGTGATATGAACGTAAATTTTACGTAAACGTGATGTCGTTTTCATGGCAATCGCAAGAAATTTACATTTTTTGCAAAAAATTAATATCTTGTTTACGTAAACATGCTGCTTGGGTCACCGTTTCGGGCGATTAGTAAGATCCCAAAGCGGCAATTGAAGTTGGATTAATCGGTATGTTTTCTCCATTAGTATTCACCCCACACACTTGATATTCTAGTCAATTTCCTAGTATGCGAGAATCATACCAGATGTATCTATACTAGACATACCATATATATGAGAGTACTAAATTTCATCTAGATCGCTCAGCTCCTTCTTGGTCGTGCTTTTTTTGGCGACGTGTATATTTCATGCTGGACTTGGAAAATCTTCGTATCATCAGTGCATGTCCATAGTCATCGCATGTCCGTTTCTAGTAGTATTGTCGGGCGCAACGAAGTAAGAGCAACGGGTTATACCCAGGTCGCCAAAACATTTCGAGCCTTCATGGCCGTAACGAGACATTTTTGGCGAATGTTTGGCAATGTCATTCACGCCTGGGTGTATAAGCCTCATACGGGAAAAATTTGGCTAGCCAAAAGATATTGGTGAGTCTGGCAGCCTAATGTGAACCAGTCATACCTGTTATAGGCCATATCAATGAGACCAGTTTCTTGGCAACCAGAGTAGGGCAACATCAAATTGTCTAATTAAAGCCTGGTTCCGGTTGGTAATTAGGTTTTAACTATTGAAAAAGCTGTACACGTTTCTCGCCAGAAGTCTACCACGTCTCCTTGTCTCTCAGGCAAAATAGAATGAACTCTCTCAAGGTATTCTGTCGATGAAGATTAATGATCCTGTCCATCAGAGACCCACTGGGCATGCCGCCACGATCCTGTGAAGTTCGAACTTGATGAAATAGCAGAGGAGAGCAAATAGAACGGCACTGCAAGGGCTCAGGCAGTGGGTTTCCTCGCAACTTTAGATCCTTCAGTTCGTGTTTTAATACTGATCTTGCCGTTTCATAAAACCTGCGATCACAGCTCTCAAAGATATGAGATGCCATCTTCAGAGAATCCCTACCAGGAGCGAAGCAAATGGCAGAAGAATAGAACAAAATTTCAAGGTCAAAAGAAGTAGATCAATTCACCAGATGAACACAAGATTCTCTTTTTTTTTTCAGAGATCGTGAAGAACTTTGACTCTCTCAGGGCACAAAAATTGTTCGACGTGGGCGACATGACTTCGTCTTTGGTGCGTCGGTGATGATTTGTGCGAGCCTGATCCTGAGCATTTTCGACAGGAATTCTATTAATATTCTTCGATGCCCTCCGAGATATGCACACGGACGATAGCTATTTCATTTCAAGATAGAGAATGGGATGACAATAGCCTTTCTAAATGTTGCTGTTCTCTATCGGATCTTTCTCACCCTGCCAGGAACAAGCGCGAAGTCACTTGAAGAGAATCAAGGACTATCTTCGTATGAGAAAGGGCGTCTCACCGGTCTGGCAACAGTGGTCTGAAACGTGGTACATTTCTATCATAATGGGGTTCACGCGCACAGTGGTTCGGCTGTATTTTGCCTCATTCCAGTCGTGGGATCGTGTGGGGTCTGTGTGGTATGAACAACATGCACTGTCAACTGCAAATATCCCGAGAAAAATGCAGATGAAAATGCCTGGAGTCGTTGGGATTAATGGCTAGATGATTCCTCATCGAAATGCATGGCGGATCGTGGCGGATGGATCCAACCACGCACAGCCCTCCATCCTCCTATCGTCGTTTCATGGGCGCCGTTTCTCTATGTTTACTAAATATAAGTGAGAAATTAGACTCTTGTTGGCCAAGGACCGTAAAGAGATGGTATTTTGTTCTATTATGTGACAAAATAAGGGTTTCCTTAACAAAAAAGGAGGCCCACTACCGAAGTGGGCTTGCCCAGCTTGTTCTCTCTCCTCCCCTTTGGATATCCACTCCTAGGGAGTTTTCGAAGGAGAGAGACCAACGATAAAAAAAGACGAAATGTGCCCTTTTTCTAGCTCGCGAGGCACTATTTCACCATGAAAAAATTCAATTGGCTGTCGTTGATAAGGGCTTAGTGACCTTGTGAAAAAGTTAGACTTCATCCTGACCTGAAGAAAGGCCGTCAGTTAGTCCTATGCCTGACGTTTGTGAGTCCCGTCGAGAAGCGGGTGGCGTAGAAAGGCTTTCAAAAATGGTTTTCACATTACTTCATGGAAATCTTGCTTTCGACACCATCGTAGGTCGGGATAGATGAGATACCCATGATCCCATGCTTTCTTCTGTACATTTAGACGATATTTTCACAAATCCTGAAAACTTTAAACAAGTGATATTTCATGGAGCATGAAAAAATGAATGTAGGCTAAGAAATACCGCATGTAAAAAAGAAATTAAAAACCATGGCGATCACGCCTCAAAAGGCAGGGTAAGACGGCTTCAGCGAGCAAAAATGGTCTGCGAAGGCATGAGTCATCTCCGGTGCTCACTCAGTATTACGGACAAATACCATTGCATCTATGTAATATAGCCAAGGCATCTGTGTAATTCAAAAGCCGCCTGTGTGCCGCGTCTGCTTCTCTTCGGAGACGATATCTACTTTTCCGGCTTCACATTTTCCTCTTACGCTGCGTGTGCGCTTGCAATCCTGAGAGAGGTTCATTAATATGGTAAGTCGATTTATATTCAGATTTTGAGGGATTCACCTTCCCTATATCAATGTTACTGTGAAATGGGCCGAAAATAATGAGCGTTCGACTCCTTCGTGACGTCATCGACATGGCCAATATGGCCATTTCGATGACGTGACGAGTCTTTGCCATTTTGAAAGGTTGCAGCGGAACGTAAACGTCTCTGATGAGTAGCCCTGTCCAATCTCGTCGGGAGGTTTCGTCCGTCTTTGGTCGCAGATTCAGGAGTTAATTAACCTCAGCTTCCTCTAATTTCTCCCCTGAGGTTTTCTCAAAACCGCCAACTCTAAAGTATGAAAATCGGTGTTCTTCCGTGGTCACATCCTAGGTTCTATCAAGTCTGGTGCTACGGGCCTAACGGCAAGAGTTGCTCGAAATCAGGGGAACGAGACACCACGCCGCTGGAAGACACGAATCGCTGGGAAATTAAATTTCTCCGAAGAGCCAGAAGTGCGATCTTGGAGCAAGTCTGAGCAAAGGCATTTTGTTCGTGCGGACTCCCAGCCGCTGGAATGCGATCCGAACAAAGAACACCGATTGCCCATTCCGATAAGATGAAGTGGACTTTCTCCAACTCCGCGTTCGGCGACGAATCGTTCATCTACGCCATCGCGGAATGCATTAGTTTGAACAAAAGCACTGTGAACATGGTCATTCCGAATCCTCCGAAAAAAAAACCGGGAACCTGCACTACGACCCCAGCACGTGCTTTCGTGTCACCCTATACGATGTCCCATGGAGGGATTTTTGTCCTCTATAATCCTCTATATTCAGTGGGAAATGTGCATGCAATTCGATGTTGCAGATGTCCTGATACAAAGGTCACAGTTCACGGCATTTCATGCTACCAGCTGTATATCTGCACGGGGATTTTAATATGATCATTTTTTTAAGTGCTGTGCGGAGCACGTGTCCCATCCAGAATAAACGCACCATTTTTCCAAGGTCAGACGGAGCCTTATTAATCCAGGTCGTCAGCGGGCAGGGAACGCAGAGAGACGGTGGAGGCAGTCGCTGTGACCCTCTCAGACACAGTGTGAGTCCCTATTTCGCTTTCCCAGGTCTATTCTTTTTTGAAAGGATTACGAGTCGACTTCATGAAGATTCAATTTCGAAGCACAATTTTCAACTTTTTTTTTTAGAGAGAGAAAGTAATAAGAAATATTCCAGCAAAATTTTAATAATGCTGATGAAAAAATGTTGCCTCAATGTGTATGAGTCCAAAAACGTCAACATAGCTCCAAATTTGCAAAAGAATCGTTACGTACATGATGCAGTAACTTTTGAGGGCTGTTCATCCAAGTTGCTGCAATGTTAATGGAGAACGTTGCCTCTGTCGCCTAATCTGTTCTGAAAATTTTCATTACTACCCGGAAAAGCATAGGCCCTGAACTCGACTGAATTTCTGGCAATATTTAATTATTTCATTCATCTCATCGCACCATATACATTTTAAATCCTTATCCATTCATGGTGAAGACGTTCCCATCAACAGGACGAAGCCCGCACTAGTTTAATCCCTACCCTTGCATAATACAAGACGTCATGTAGAAAACAGAGGAACTTGGGAAAGATTTTAGCCGCATTTCCCACGCAGAATCCCTTCAAGTGATTGCTTCTCCTGGATAGAGCCCTCCACTGCTTTGTGTCTCGTGTCATGAGTCACAGAGGTAACGAAAACCTCTCTTGTTATTAGAGACTGCTATTATCTTAGTAGACTCAGTAGCCTTTCCTTCAGCAATTATTCATCAATACATTTATTTCACAACTCTTTATCCCATGTTATACATCATATCTGGGGAGGTGATGAGTTGGCTATTCAAGTACACCCAGAAATAAGCTCCATTCCATGCTAGGTAAGGTGTACACAAAACGGGTAATAAATTGTCAGAGGCAAATCAGAGCAAGGCCGATTGTGTTCTTTATGCCTCCTCATCCCTAATCCATTGAAAATCGTAAGCACCCTGAATACCACGTGGATTGGTATTCATCCTGAATACCAAAAGTTCTCAAATTCACAAGCCAACACATGGAAAACGAAAGATGATAAAGAAAGGAAATGTTCATGGAGTGACCCAACATGCCCACCTCCGGGACTGACCAGGATGTCGCGAGGAGTGGATGTCACCCAGCTGGACATGACCCCATTGGACTTCACCGGGGAAGATGGCTTCAAAAAGTCCATCTTCGATTTCACGTGTGAACAGGAAGGGACGGTTACCATCTACGGGGTGAGCTAATGCAGACACCATCGATTGTTCGATAATAAAATTAGGCAATTCTAATTTCTATTAAATTGTACCGCAAAAAAATACAATGAATGCTCCATAGGAGCCAGGAAACTCTCTGTCAACTTGAACAATTAGAATCATTATCCTATTCTTCTAAACCTATTCGAAGACATCGGGGTACCACATTCTGATCACAGGACTATGCTTTATTATTATAATACTTACCTCAATGGCAACGCCATTTATCTACCTAATGAGATATGTCATGCTGCATTGATATGGAAGTAGAGAGACGACCAAACTGGAGTACAAGTCCAGGGACAGAACTTACATTACACTGGCCGCTATACCACTGGAATTATCAAGTGGTATATGGACTGCATCGATATATGGAGGGTCCTTCCTTCCCCGCATCCTACCGATCCAACTTTGAAAACAAAAGTTGTCATTGGTACGTCATTAGCCTATGATGTGAAAACCAATTTTCAATCGCTTTCCCTTTCTTCAACCTTCCCCGCCTCTCTACGGGACTCGAGGCCTATGCGTAACCAACAGACTGCCTTCAAGTCACGTCAAGGCCTACCTTTTTCTTTTCAAAAGAAACTCAATTCTCGACTTACGGCGCCAAATTAAGCGCCTATAAGGGTGAATCGTGGTCTTCGAGACATCTGGTTGAGGACGTGTAACGTTAGGTCAATCGCAGGCCTATCCATACGTTCATGAACCATTTCAAAGTGAATGTGTAACGTTAGACCTATTGGAGGCCTGTTTCGCGTTTCATGAACCATTTCAGTGGAACGTGGAACGTTAGGCCTAACTGGAGTTACTCGAACATTCTCGAATAGGTCTGAGGAGAGAATGCCTTCAAGAAGTCCAAGGTACGCGCCATCCTGTTAATTCAGGGATGTCCGGATGAGATATCTGCATATCCCACCACATCGATCAATAACTGCTGACCTCAGCTGTAATCTCAACTCATCTTATGAACTCAGCACAAAAATATCTCATACATTAAAACCAGAAGATCCTGATGCCAATACGAAGGCTGAAACAAGTCTTGAATCTGGCATAATTTCGGCACGGTATCCAGCAACACTGGGGGACGGTACCGTGCAAGCACTCTATGCCTAATTGAACGACAGTTAACTTCAATTTTTATGGCGAAATGGAGCATCGCAAACAGCAACAAAAAAAAACAAACACTTTTCATCATCTACGAGTTAATATCAATGGGCGCGGTAGTGCCCATTACCTTTCTTTACCTTTACCGACAAAATTCAACCGTCTCGTATTCCTCTCTGAGAGCAACAACAGGAATGAAATTTGCAATAATTCTTCTACTCTCAACACAGAATCTCTCTATCAAATTTGAAGCTCCATCTCCTTGAGGTTGCATAGAACACTGAATCTCGTTTTTGGGAGATGTGAATTTAGTTCCTGTATTTTATTTATTTTTTTTATGTTTTCACCCAACTGGGTAGCCACTCCTTGGCAGTTTTCGGAGAAAGTGAACAACCATATCGAAGATATTGGCATGGAGGTGACAAAAAGTCCCCCTTTTTTTGCTTTCAGTGTACCATTTGGTCACTTAAAAAAAATGAAATTATATGTCGTTAATTAGCGCAATGGCTCCGGTTCTGTCCTCCAGTGTTGCCGGATATCATGCCGGCGTAATGTCAAATTCATGACTTCCTCAGCCGTAGTATCGTGGTCTGGATCTTCTCTTTTAATTTAGGAAACATTGCTGCGCTGAATTCATGGGGTGAGCGGAGATTGAAGCGGTGTTTTGCAGTGGCCGATGGATTTGGTGGAATGCGGAGATATCGTATCGGACATCCATAAATTAACATGATGGCGGCCAGCTCGTTTGTAGTGCTTCCTAAAGACGCTTTCTTCTCAGAACGAGTCGAGACGATTCGAGAATCTCTGGATATGCCTAATCCCACACAGCACAGGTATATCCCAAAGATATCCCAGAGATATCCCCTTGGGACAAGTTCTGGCGACCATCATTCGCAACTTTCCAAAGCGACTCCGAGCGTGCATCAAGGAGAACGGCGCCAATTTTGAGCACCTGCTTTGAATTTATTGATTCATTTATCTTTCTCTGATTATTGAAAAGTTAACATTTTGATAAAACCTTAACCTCGGCTTGTTAGGTAAATAATTATGTACATAGAACACCATGAAAAAAGTGTACGGGAACTTTTGCACAACCCTGTATACTATTGACGAAAAATCTTCGAAGTGGAACGCAGCGGCTGATTGCCACCGGTGACTATTCACGTTTTTCTTCTCGTAAGAACATTTCAGGTAGGCCTCGTAGTGCCGTAGTGCGATTAAGTACTTCCAAGTCAATTCATTTCAAGGAAGCTTTCACTTTAATCCAGAAGCCAAATACATGATTAGCATTCTAAGGCATGTACGCGCCTGAAATGCTTGCATTTAAATATTAAATACTTTACGTCTCCCTCGGATTCGATGAGATTCGATTAAATGATATGGACGCCAAGTGATCCTTGAAGTTAGGTCGAGAATCCAACTTGGATTCAATGTCTGGGAACAAAATTTAGACAAAAAGAGTACAGTGTCTTGTTACGTGCCTTTTATGGTAAATTGTTAAATTCTTTCCAATTATTCCAGCTGACCCCACCCCGGAATTTTTCTACCGATGGGGTATACGATAAAAACGCATTCCCTTAGCGGAGGATGATTTTATTGCATACCCAACCGGTTGGACCTTAGCAGCGGTCTGTTACCCGTATATGGCCAGCTGAAATTTGAAATTCGTTCGAAAATCCAACTTTGATTCTATATCTGGAAGCAAATTTAGACAAAATAAGTACTGTATCTAGTTGCGTGCATTTTATGTTTTATTGCTAAGGTCATTCAAATTATTCCATCTGATTCCAGGCCCCGAAATTTTCTACCAATATACAATTAAAAAAAAAACCTCCCTTATTACCATTAGAGAATCGAATCATGAGAACATCTCCGAACAGTAACAACAGTACCAACTCCGTAGTGGGACGTAGAAAAAGCTTCACCTGAATGCAAACTATCGTTACAGTTTTGTACACCTTTCATGATGCGATCTTCACTTTCGGTGCTTATTTTACGGACCAGCTGCTCTTTCTCCCTCCAATCTGATAATTCGAAGGACTTCGACAAACATTCGCTTGATTCAACCGAAATATGAACATTTTCCCGTGAATTCCTGTATGAAGAATCTCTTCGTGCAGCCCAAGTGTTGCTGAACCTGCAGCGAACTATTATTGACTTTATTAATTTCTGCTTTCCAGAAAGAGTATAATTTACCAGATCAGGTATGGGAAGTAACCCGCATCCCAGGTGGTTGGATCTCATCCAGTGTGCAGATCTTCAAAACCTACCGGGAGATAAAGAATTCTATGGCCTATCAAGTGGGCGCTGGAGTAAACACCGGCAAGTTCGGCTTTTCTGCAAGTCATTCTTACGAGCGCATGCAGAACACCATCGTGAATACGTCGAGTTACATCGAGGAGGTTTCCTCCTTCGACTCGGCCGTGCGAGCTGACCTCGTGCCTCAGTGGGAACTGAAGTTGGGCAAGTTCATATCTTCGTTCGTCGACCTTCAGCTGCCTCCAACTTTCGCGCAAGACCCTGCTGCTTATGATAAATTCATTGCACAATTTGGAACGCACTATTTCCAAAATGGAAAATATGGAGGTGTTCTTAAGCTCGTATTGGAGACAAAATCCGAATATTTCTCTTCGAAAACTGATGTGCAGGTGAAAAACCAAGCCGAAGCTTCCTTCCTTCAGGCTTTCAAGCTCGATGGAAGCCAATCTCAAGGAAAGACAAATATTGACGAGAGATTTAAAGAGCTGACCACCAAAACCATCAGGTAGGAAGAAGTCCTGTGGTAATTTCGCATTGTGTGGTCCCCGTGTAGGAAGTTTAGAGGGCGTTTCCATGGTCAATGTCATGAAGAACGCGCCAACGCGCCCTTCAGTTCGAGCGAATGCTCTGGGGGCACTAGTGGACCCGAAATAAACATGGCGAATTCGGTGTGCGCCAAGGAAGAGGAGCGGTCTGCTATCCGGTTTTTTTTTTTTGGGGGGGGGGGGGGGCATAAGGCTTTAACCACCCCCCAACAGCCCTCTGAATTCGGTGTGCGCCAAGGAAGAGGAGCGGTCTGCTATCCGGTTTTTTTTTTTTTGGGGGGGGGGGGGCATAAGGCTTGAACCACTCATCAACAGCACTCGTTAGTCCTTTTCGGAACCCTTCTGCCCACTCGTAGCTATCAACTTCTCACCATACTGTGCTAACATTGTGAATATCGGTTGGTTTAACACGTTCTGACCCTAAAAAAAATGATAACAGAAAGGCTGCTACTCCTCGGTACCCGCCAAAAGCATACTCGCCATGTATTTTAGAAGTATACTATCGTCACCTGCAACATTCGCACGAACTGAAGGGCGTGTTCTGCATTATACATGAGTGTTAGGGGTGTCCGATGGACAATGTTCGTAAAAAACGCAAAAATTTTTCCAAGTCCCTTTCATAATGAAATGACAACTGCAATTCTACTTAATATATATTATTAAACAATATTCTTTTGCGAAGTACTTCCCATAAATAAGCTAAAGTGGACGTGTCATCGATTTTACGTATAACTGAAGATATCTCCAAGCCATATCGATTCGAAATTAAGCAAAACCGATTCAATTATAGGTACTATGGTGGCAACACAAACTTGTTATCGTCCTCGGGGATAAATGACTGGCAACCGACGGTGGCGGCCAATCCATGGCTGTTTGCGGGAGATCTGGCTCCCATCAGCATTCTCATCCAGGACCCAAAGAAGCGTGCATCCATGGATCAGGCCGTCACCAACTACATCCTGCGTAGCTATTTGGCCGAGCTGAGCAGGATTGTACAAGCTGTGCGTTCTCGTTGGAAGTCAGCCCAGTCCGAGCTGAACGCACTGAAGACTCGAATCGATGCACTCCAAAGCAAACCCATACTGGACCAGACGGAGGTGGGCCGTCTTGGGGATGAAGTGGAAAGCCAAGTGGTCATTCCATACTGGTTCACTGAGGAGACTCAATTATGCTATTATGTCTTCAGGATATCCTATAAAGACATGGGGACAAGTCGTCCAGATAGGGACATCCCTGGGATATCCCTGTGCTGTGTGGGATGTTTCCCGACCGCACCGAAATGGCTCATGAAACTCGAAAAAGACCTACATTCTAGCTAACGTTACACGTTCTCTGTTAAGTGGGCCATGAGAGACTCAAAAGGCCTGCGATTGGTCTAACGTTACACGTCCTCAAGGTATCTTCGAAGACGAGGGATTAATCCCAACAGCCTAGTTGGTCAGTAGGGCGAGGATTGAGTTTCTTTTGAACGATAAAAGGTAGGCCTAGGCCTAACCCGAAGACAGTCCGTTGGTTAGGCTTAGGCCTAACGTTAGTGAGTTCCGTAGAGAAGGTGGGGGGATGAGGGTGGGGTTGAAGAAAGGTAAACTGTTGGAATTGGTTTTCCCATTCCTACATCTTTCTCATGGTTGGTGTCTTTCCTCCGAAAACCCCCCAGGATTGGCTACCGAGGGGGGGGGGGAGAAATAAAAAACCAAACGAAATTCACATCCGTCAAAAACGAGATTCAGCGTTCTCCACAATGAGATGAAGCTTAAAATTTGCCGGAGGGATTCTGTGGTGGGAGAGGAAGAAGTATGCTAAATTTCGTTCCTGTTGATGCATTCAAAGAGGAATACAAGGAGATTGAATTTAGCGGCCGGAAGGGGTTTAAGAAATATGCGCTACCGCGCCTATTGATGTAAATACTCCCGAACATGGTCTTTTTCAATGTGTGGACGATCGACCGCGTCGCGTGGAGATGTGAGGAGAGTATGATGAATAGGATGCCATTTTATTCATATTAGGCTAGAAACTTCCTCTGAAGTTTGAACGACAGATGGATCAGAAAGGAGAGGTCATGCTGAATCAGGTTCTTATTTCTAAGCCCAGGATGGGAGAGAGAAATCAGAAGAGGGCAAACAATTTCTGATTGCATTCCCTTCCTATCCTGTCTAGATAGAAATTCCTGGAGAAAGCTCACCCTATACGCATCACTTTTCCAGGGCATGGAATCGGCATTCATATTCGCTTGGTTGGCCAAGTGGAGGGAGAAAAAAAGCCGCTATTTGCATTTTTTGTATCAGGAGATCCTTACTGCGGTATCTTCTAGGACGCATGCATCCATGTCTTGTTCTCCATAGAAGTCTATCGCATAAGTCGTGATCATGCAGTTGTCTTAGGTATACATAACAGAATTGAAGGGTATTTCCTTGACGGAAGTGCGCACGGACTGTGTGTGTGCGACATCACAAGAGCAATTCTTCGATGAAAATCGCAGTCCGTTCATTTTTTCGTCCATTTCGGTGAGTCCCCGTGGGAGACTCTCCGGAAATCTAGAATATGTTCGCAGAAGAAGACTTCATCATCGCACACTACTAGCACATAACATTCAATCGACATTGAGTCCATGTTATTTAAATGCTGTGTTACTTGGGCAGCCGGCAGATATTCTGGCAGTAAATGTTTACTTTCTCGTACCTGCGAATTCTCTTGATCACCTTCAACCTCTTTTGGCATTAAATACTTCACGTTTCCCTCGAATTCTATGAGATCCGATGAAATGATATGGACGCCAGGTGAAATTTGAAGTTCGGTCAAAAATCCATCTTGAATTCAATGTCTGGAAGAAAAAATTTAGAAAAAAAAAGTACTGTATCTTGTTGCATGCATTTTATGTTATCTTGTGTTTTATGTTTTATGTTATCTTTCCCATTGTTCCATCTGACTCCAGGTCCGATTTTTTCTTCCGATGTGGTATACAATAAAAAAACACCCTCCCTTATTAAAATTAGGGAATGTCATTGAGGGAACATCTCCGAAACGTAACAACAGCACCAACTCCGTAGTGGGACGTAGAGAAGGCTTCACCTGAATGCAAGCTGTTGTAACGACTTTTTACATTTTTCCGGATGCTATCTTCCCTTTCGTGCTTATGTTACTGACTAGCAGCACTTTCAACCTCTTTTCTGGTCATTCAAAGGTCTTCGACAAACATTCGCTTTATAGAACCGAAATATGGACATTTTCCCTTGACTTCCTGTGTGAAGAATCTCTTCGTGCAGCCCAAGTGTTGCTGAACCTACATTGAACTACATTGAACTGAAGGGCGCGTTCTGTATTATGCATGTCATACAACGTTATGCATTGATCATTCTTTCCTAGAATGCGGTTTCCGAAGTGTAAGCTCACAGGGACGGTTTCGACAGGAAATATTGTTGCTATTTGAAGCACTCTCGTATGATCCCGAGTCCCAAAAGTTATTTGAAGCTCAATCTTTTCTAAATTATTATTTTGAAATATCACTAAAACGCCCAAGTTAGAAGAATTTTCTTTTTGCCTAAGTTGAAGCCCCACCGTGCACTGGAGTAAATCCTTGAGAAATCAGCACAAAGTATTTCGATACCATTTTGCAAACCCGTTTCAGCTCCGTATCATTTCCTGAAAATTCAATGGATAGGCCTATATGCCTTCCCATAGAGAAATTCCCACGAATGCATGGGTGTGCCCAATCTTATTACAGTCAAGCTGGGTTTTAACGGCAACGGTTATAACGAGACCTCGAACATAGAGACGAATAGACAGCCTGAAGTTCGTAAGATACCTGTACTGTACTACACTTATAGGGAGCTCGGTTACTGTCAGTGTTTCGGCAATAGCCTAGTCGATCCTTGTTACAGAGACGAAATGGACAACGTCTTGAAGATATTATCTCGTCTTCTTACTCCCCAATATCTGGAATTTCCATCGTTGGGAACATAACGCGAAATTTTTCCTGGTCTCTTTCATGAGCCATAACCGGGTTTGACTGTAATTGTACATGAAATAATTTTCCGAACAATATTCTTTTGGGAAGCACCACCCCTAACCCAATTTAAGTGGACGCTTAATCGTTTTTACGATTAACTGAAGATATCTCCAAGCCATATCAAATCGAAATTAAGCATAAACGATTCAATTATAGGTACTATGGTGGCAACACAAACTTGCTATCGTCCTCGGGAATAGAAGACTGGCAACCGACGGTGGCGGCCAATCCATGGCTGTTTGCGGGAGATCTGGCTCCCATCAGTACTCTGATCCAGGACCCAAAGAAGCGTGCATCCATGGAGCAGGCCGTCACCAACTACATCTTGCGTAGCTATTTGGCCGAGCTGAGCAAGACTGTACAAGCTGTGCGTTCTCGTTGGAAGTCAGCCCAGTCCGAGCTGAACTCACTGACGACTCGAATCGATGCACTCCAAAGCAAACCCATACTGGACCAGACGGAGGTGGGCCGTCTTGGGGATGAAGTGGAAAGCCAAGTGGTCATTCCATACTGGTTCACTGAGGAGACTCAATTATGCTATCACTGGATCGCCCAAAGGGACGCTGGCCAGTGTGGAGGCTCCGGCGGCATGCAGTGTGCCAAGCCCGGCCAGATGACCAGCAATTACCGGGATGACACGGACAAACGTAAAGGCGGATGCCTAATCGGTTGGACCATCCAGTCCAAGCAGGAACCCTCATGGTTCGACTCGGTTAAGGTCTGTTTCCGATGGGAGGCAGAAGATGCACGGGGTCGGGGCCAGTGTGGGGGAGGTGCGCCCAGCAGCATGTGTGCACCGATCAACGCTTGGACTCAGTACTATCTCGACGACACAGACAACGGACGTGGCGGCTGCCGCATGTCGTGGAAACTAGAAATCCCCAGTTCCGCTCCCGTCTGGCTCCAGAACGTCAAGATGTGCTTCTCCTGGTTTCCGGATGGCGATTCCAACCAATGCAGAGCCTCCAATAGAAACCTTTGCGCTATTGCCAACGAATGGACCGAGTATTACACGGACGACACGGACAACAGGCGTGGAGGCTGCCTTCTGAGCTGGGGTATCATTCCGGGGTAGGCGATTATGGACATGATGCCAGCTCGCTCGACTCGAGCATTAAGGAGAATAAAGACGTCTGAAACTGATTGTATTTCGCATTATTTGTCTCTATGAATGCCAACCACTCAGAAATTATGAAATTAAACATGACATGAGTTAAATGGGAATGTTGGTCATCCCATGCAGTGGAATATTGTCTCCTGTAATGAAGTGCTGGTTTCCAGTCCCTCCTTTTTTTTTAAATCTCAAGACAGTTTGCACATTCAGGATTTCCCCTCCCCCGTTCATGATAGATTCTAGAGCCATTCAATAGTTTTGCGCAGTCAAAAAGTTAAGTGATGCTCCATCTTGAGTCTATTTTCACCATCATGGACATTTTCCTTTTTTCTGTCAAGGTGACTTGAACGAAAATTGGATGAATATTAATATCTGTGTCCACTCAGCAGTACCAATTCAATACGTTCTTCTTTCAACAAACTCATATTCAATCTGGGGAAAAAAACAGAATATTAGTAATATTACCTGTGTCCAGACTTTTGGGTCACCCTGTACATCGCATTGGATTTTCTTACCGAGTGAAGAAACAGGAGGAACCGTGAAAGGGGATGAAATCTTCGACTAAATGACATCGCTTCCGTTCCAGATACTACGGTGGGGATGCGAACGTGCTATCGTCCGAAGCGTTCGAGAACTGGCAGCCGACGGTGTCTGGGAATCCCTGGCTCTTCTCCGGCGAGCTCGCGCCCATCAGCAGCCTCGTCCAGGACGCGAAGAAGAGGGCGTCCATGGAGGAAGCGGTCATCGACCATTACTGCATGCGTATTTGAGAGAGCTGGCCAGAATCGTGTACGGTGCGCGTTCGCGATTCCCATGCTCGAATCGCCGACGACCAGAATCGATGCTTTCCAAAACACCCGCGGGTCGAACCGGACGGAGATCGAACCACTCGGAAACGAAGTGGACGAACAGGCCAACGTCCCTATTTGGTTTACGGAAAGGACCAAACTCTGCTTCCGCTGGGAGGCGAACGGAAATAGCGGCGAATGCGGAGGCAGCGTGGACCGATTGCTGTGCGCCTCACCCCGCCAGATGACCCCTTTTTACTGGGACGATACGGACTGGCGCGACGGAGGGTGTCGAACGAGCTGGGGCATTCGGTCTTCGGGCCACCCTAACTGGTTCGACTCCGTCAGGGTCTGCTTCCGGTGGGACGGCGGTAGCAGTCAGTGCGGAGGCGGGGTCGATCGCAACCTGTGTGCGCCGGTCGACGATCGGACCCGCTACCATCTCGACGACACGGACTGGAAAGACGGTGGATGACGCATGTCGTGGAAGTTGGAGATTCCTGGTTCTGCCCCTGCATGGCTCCACAACGTAAAAATGTGCTTCTCTTGGTTTCCGGATGGTAACAGCCGTCAGTGCAGAGGACCCAGTCGAGATCCGTGCGCCCTTGCCAACGCATGGACCGAATATCATACCGACGACACGGACTGGAAGAATGGAGGCTGCCGCATGAGCTGGGGCCTCATACTGGAACGACCGATCGTTCCTCCCCCGACCGAAAGAACACGGACGGCCCAAATTCATTATGGCCTAGGGCACGTGGTGATCTGACAATTAGGCTCTGGATGGAACAATGTTACCAGGATTTACACAGATTCTCCAGGGATAATTTTATTTTAACCGACCTCCTGCAACATTCCAAATACGTGTAAATTTTGAGCGAGTTTGGGAAAAGAATTGTGATTAACCATCGCGTTCGTGAGAAGGGAATCCAGTGGAATAGCCGCAACGATAGGGCATTAAACGTCTACCCTGCATGGAACCATGAAGCGTTATAGACGGAAGGAGTCACGGCATCAAAGCTACGTTGAGGAAGGGAAAGATTGCTGTCGGACGGCAACGAACGAGAACTGGATAGAAGTGTGAGGGTAAACCGTTCTCCTTACTGTCTTGGGTCAAATCTACATCACCGACTCTTGCAAAATCAAGAGCTACGTTAACCAGGTGTGTCGAACACAAATCGGTCGGCGGGGCGCATTTCCTTATCCTGCAGATCGCGCTCATAATTATTCACCGAAGTTAGTGCGAACGGTCAATCGAAGCGGTAATTTCAAGAACAGACGGCGGGCCGTAAGTTTGAAACCCCTGATGCAAGCGGTGTTAGTTTATAAAATCAAGAGGCCAGAGTCGATTGGGTGGAGGAGTTTCTTCAAATCACAAACACAAACTGATACAGACAATGAACTCATCTATATTCCATCGAACAAGACATCAAGATAACATAAAAATATATATGACATTAAAATAGCTGGCACTCCCACTTAAACCCAGAACAACAATTATATCACAGTGCTAGCAACTCCTCCTCTGATGGAGGGAGCAAAAAAAAGGACTTGGCGATGGCAGTGTGAATGAGACCATGTTGTAAGGTCAAATAGGGGGATAGCAAAGAACAGTCACGGAATGCTTCGGTTTCTCCCGCTTTCTCTCCTTTCCTTCCCCACCGCCTTGGGCCCGTTTCTGGATCATATGGGGTTGAATGGGGGAATTTCAGGTGATCTGAGGTGAATCGGCGGGGACCAAACCCTCCGTGCTTTCCCCCGAACCTTCCGTGCCTATATATACCGACCAGAGATAGAGAGAGGAGATAGACGCACATTCACACCCACATGACGCAACCACATGATTAGAACCAATGGTCTAGCTTTTTCTCTCCTCCCTGGTATCATGCAACAGCACCTTTCTCACTCCAATTTACCTTGAGCCTGGATTCCTGAACACAGGTTTTTTCATAGAGCCAAGATGTATCACAGATGGCAGGCATAAAAAGTCCAGCATGCAAAAAAAAAAATTGAAAGCAATAAGAAAGACACAACACAACAAGGAACAGAACAGTACAAGTAACTGAGGATGAAAGAAAGATTTCATGGAATGCATAGGTAAGATGGAAGACTGGAAAAGAGCCAATTTAGGACATGCTAAAACAAAAAATATTAGGACTGCAGAGAGGGGCCTGGATAGGGAGGGGGTGGGCTTTCACTCATGGCTATTCCCTCCAGACCTAGAAGAGAAAAATCCATCCAAAATACATGTATATCTAATATTAGAGGGCTTTGGCATGTTTCACATGAACACCATACAACTACATTCTAGCAGGGACTCGAAATCGGATATTCGATGGAGCATACTGGGTGTGATGGAGTGGGGAAGGATTCCATGACAGATAATCTTTGATTGGGACAGGGAAAGGCTTCAAATGGGGTAGGTGATGCCCTCAAAGGTGAGAAACCGTCTTAGGATATCGTAGAACAAGGACCTATCGATGGATGGCAATAGGGACTGGGAGTATCTAAGGGCCAAAGGAGATTTGGCCAATGGTTCAAAACAACATATTCTATAGGGATACACTTCTGTTTTTTTTTAGATCTGTGACAACCATGGTGAAGGGGCCAAAGATAAATGTTACTTGGAAGAAAGCAGCTGGAAAATGTGAGAACAATTATGAACTACATAAACTGGCATGTTGCAAAAAAAAATACACACACAAGGTAACAGTGCATTCTGAAAGATTGCTCCCAAAGAGCCAGAAAATCCAGTATATGGTAGAACAAACTAAGAGTGAAGAAGCTATGTAATCTCATGCACCTACAAGCTCAAAAATTTAAGTCGGATCAACTCAACACGACCCAACCACTTGAACTCAACTGGCCCCCAAAAAATTCCTGCAACGTAATGAAGACAAAAGAAAGAAAATAGAGCTCACCTGCAATGATTCTGTCTGTCTTGCGCTTGTCCCGCACGACGTACCAAGAGCAGACGACGAAAAGGAGGCCACCGAGGACCTCAACAAATACACAGATGAACAGGGCATATTGCAGTCGCCTAAATGCTACCAGAGGATCTTCAGCATCCTTGGTATCCTCAATATCCTTGGAAATAGGTTGTGTTACATTCTGTGCCAATGCTGCAATGGGAATAAAAGAAATAAGTGATCACTCCCACAATTTCTAATGCTCTATTCCCAAAGCAGATGCAAGAAAACATGCCTTTGTGCCAAGCCAAATTGTGAATAAAATACAGAAATGAAAGAAACAGCAGTATTTTTATTTGGAAGGATGGATTTGTCACCTGTTGCCAAAGGAACAAGAGCTGCTTTGGAGATCCCAACTCCCTGGCCTAATTTTCCTTTCAGTGCTTCTGATACCTACAAGAAATGAAACAATAGGGATAATGGCAAGACAATATCAGTTAGTGATTAATATTCCACATTAAGTTTTACTAAGAGCAAATTCTGAAATAAGCTGTTCCATCACTGCTTCAACATACTTATCATAGATATTAATTTTGTGGTCCAGAAGTTGCAAAATGTTTCACAACAAAATCAAAGAAATTGCATCACAGCACTCATTCTTTGTAAGTGCATCACATTCCCCATTTGGTCCTACCAAAAATTTTAAAAATAAATCTGTCCCATCATACAAAGGACAGCCTTTTTTTCTAAAGACATTTGCTGTGCACATGAGGAAAATGAGGTATGCAACAGTTAAATATCAAAGGTGAGCCAACTTAAACAGAAATGAATAAGAAATAATGAAGCTAAAAAAGTTACAGAGTTGTAACACATAAGGTTATACTGAACTATGAGTAACACTGACAGGTCAAGACATAAGAATGAAGGAGAGATATGAAGTACTCCTGGAGATGTTACCTGTCCAATGAGATAAGGGCTCCCAGCATCTCCAAACATGTGTGATATCAAGATCTGGAAAGCCTCTGCAGAAGACCTCCTCGTTGGAATCACCACATACTGTAAAAACAAATAAAAATACAGGGATCCCAATCTCAGTGTTGATCTATCTCCCAGGAAAAAAGTCAGCTTACAAGGAGGATGTCAGCAACTATGGACCAATTGAGATTGAGGAAGAGCTCCCCAAAGAAGATGAGGGCAAATGCAACTTTTGTGTCAGTGTGAGCAACAAGGGAGGCTGCAAAGAGGAAAGGAGCCGACAGTAAGAGCCCCACGGCACAAATGAGTGGATCTGCCCGAGGATACTTTGTCCGAAGGTATTGTGCCAATCCAGCACCCAGTGGCACTCCAATTAGTCCTGAGATCATTGTGATCAGCCCAAAGATGTATGCCACCCTAAGAAAGGGAAAAAAAATACAAATTTGTATTTTATATTTGTATTTTTTGCCTTGTAAATAAGGCACCAACAAGGCAAATAAGGCACCAATGTGGTAGGACATTTACTTTCAAAAGGACAGTGCCACATTCCATACAACACGGGTCGATGAGTTGTGTGCAACAGCACTTCAATGATCACATCATCTCTTCACATGGTGACACTTCAAAGCCCAAAATACTCCAGATCAAACTGTACCAATTACTTTTTAAGGGGCTATTGGAAAGAAAAGATGTACCAAAACAGGCCTGGCACAATACAGGAACTTGAAGAAAACATTAGTGCAGAAGTAGTCAGAATTACCTAAGCATTTTGCAAAGTGACTTTAAAAAACTTAAGAAAACATTCTCTCGTGTATTGCATCTCACAGAGATTATTTCAAAGACATCATCTTCAAAACTTCAAAACAAAATGTAACGTTTTGTACTTAAATTTTAAGACCTTGAATAGTATTTGTACAAAATCAGTTTTTTGCACAAAAGCTTCAAAAGACAAAGCATTTACATTGCTTCAATGTCTCCATGTCACTTCGTACAAAACCACATCTGCATAAGAATGCCTGAAAATGTATGCACATGCTTGACATTTTTAGATGATGAAAAACACATTTGACAATGTGCTGTTATGTTTTCACAATGTACAAAAAAACAGATTTAAGAAAATGGAAATTAAATGTGGATTCATGTCTAGCAACAGCAGTTGCATTAACTGTTCACAAAGAAATTTTAACATTTTGACAAAATCTGCCATAGCTCAAGAATGAGCATTATGGGAGCCAATTCAGCCAAAGGTGCATGAAAATTCAAAAGCATTTGAAGAACATATTAAACAATGTTCTTTTAAACTACCAAGTCAATCCATTGGAAAATATGGATTTCATAGCAAAATTAAAATCAGTTTACCTTTTTTTGTCCAACCCTGTATTTTAGGAGGGGAAGTGGGTGAGACTCACTCATCATTCTCAGGGGCTTTCCCTGAGGATCCAGCCTGAGCAGCAATTCCCTTGATGATGAAAGTTGGGCCCCACCAGGCCAATGCCCCAGCCACAAATGCCACACAAGTGAACCCAGCCGTGCTCAACATGAAGCTCTTGCTGTAAGACAATGAGGAATGCATACAATATCACTACTCACAATAGGCATCGTGTTTAAAGACCTGAAATAGAGTTTCAAACAACTATATCTCATTAAGATGGTCATAAATTGAGTCCTCTCTGGACAGGATTCCCAATATCACTTGATCACAAGGTTTGCTTCATAAGTTCAGTCATACAAACTAAGCATATCCCAAACACATCTCGAAGTTCAAATGTTTCCTGATTTATTTTTTTAATGGATACTCGTTCATTTCACTTCTTCTAAAACATACATCAGCTATTGCATAGTCTGATACTCATGGGACACTATGAAACCAAATACTATTTTCTAGATCACGTACAAGGTATCAGAAATTATAGGACCAAAGAATATTAGCATACAGAGTAAGCTATGATACCTCATAGAATTTTCAATAGAAGTTACCAAGATTCAAGATGTCACTACCATCAATAAACCAGAAACAGTATTAACCCTCATCCGGGCAAGCTTTTTTACAACCTATTCCGGGCAAGGTGAGTCTGTCAGACTCATGTAAAATAAGGCCATTTGCTGCGGTTACGGTATGTATTCTTACAAATAACAGTACTGTAACTAAAATAATACAGACAATTTATTCAATGGTCCTGATAAAATAATGACAGTAATAGACTGAAATATGTCGTAGTGAGTCCAGACTCACCTTGCCCGGATTAGGGTTAACAATCTCTCAACAGAATGGTGTCAACTGTGATCCATGGGCACAAGGTTGGTCAAGCTGTCAGAGTTATTGTATGAAGGCAATAAGTGTTTTTGAAATTAAGAGTCTAATGTGAAGTTAAAGTTTTAATAATGCATATTCACAAAGTCTTAAGGCCTGCCTGTCTCAAAATTAATATTCATAAAAAATAAGAACTATTTGCTAGGAGATATTATGGCTCACCATGTACTAAACCATGATATGAAGATGAAACAGTGTAATAATGAAGATCCACCCATGGAGATAAGGCTACAGGTATTTGAGTCCAGAAAATAAGTACATCAGGATGTCTGTCCCATCAATTTACTGACCCTAAGTTCATAAGATATATTGCTTGTAACTGCTCTCAAACTTACCAAAAGTTAATGAATTTCTTTTCTGATATTCTCCACAAGTTTAGGAAAAGCTTGAAGATGACTCAGCATATATCCAGGACTTCATGTAACCCCATATATACTCCAGGGCCAAGGTACCAAGCCATCTAGCCTCATAAGCCTAATGACATTACTTTGAAAAAGTCAGTCAGTCTGTATTTGTATGTTCAAGATTTGAGGGTAAGGGTGGCATGTAACCACATCCAGTGACAATTCACAAATAGCCCTTGAAGTTTGTTGCACAGAATTTTTTAGCCTTTGCTGATAATTTTCCTTTTTACTGTAATACATAGGTCACTCTCATTTTGGAAAGATTGAGTATCTTGATACTGGATTCAAGAAATAGGATTCTTTGTCATTATAATTTCTCCAGTGATCTTACTATTCCTGTTTCAACACTGACTGTTTCTTGGTTGAATAACTTAAGATAACTTGATAACAAAGGGGGGGAAAATGCTAGGGAAAAGTGAAGTGCTGGCAAACATGCTAGGGAAAGAGTTAAAATTCACCCTCTACTCATGAACAATTAATGAGCAAGGAGGCCAAGCAAGAGGGGAGGGGGGAAAATAATGAGATGAAAAAAAGAGGAGAAGGGCACCTTGACAGACAAGAAACCAGTCAGACTAGTTCTATTTTTTCTACTTCTAATCTTCCTCCAATCCCCACTCCACAAAAACATTTTCCTGAAATATATAGACTCCGCTGTCACCCATTTCAAAAATATGAAGAACAGATTGAGGAGGAAATGAAGCCCATTGTATGGCAGGAAGAAAGAGTAATGGAGAAAAAAATAAAGGTTGCAATGCTCACTAGATCAGGTTTATGCCCTTATTCTGTTTCTCCCCTATGCCTCCAATTTCACTGGTGATAGTTATTAACAACAGTCTTTAGGAACCAACTACTGAGAAACCCAAGAATCTATTAATCACTCATACAGCTAATCTGCAAAGACATTGACATAGAGCAAATCAGTATGTGTATATTCATTTTCTTGGTCACAAAAATGCCTGTCTTTTCTGGAAAGGCTACATATACAAGTAGGCACAGTTAAATAATAATCATAGCCTGAATAGATGGAGACAATATATTACAACATAGATACATTCATCTTGCAAGTTACTCCAAACGATCTTACATCAGCATTAGCATGGTGACAAACTAAATATTAACAGATTAGACACTATATTCCCAGGAGCATGGCAGTGGATGCATAGCATAGCTGCCCTTGAAAGTTAATCAAAGAGTTGTAGATGTGAAGCTGTCCATGTTAACCTTAAGGTGATCCTGGACTTCTTAGGGGAGGGTGGGGATGATTACATGAAGGGCAAAAAAGGATATGATCTTGCAAGTCTGCAAAGGGAGGAAGGACTTAACTGCATCACTGTGACTCTGCAATCTCAGCTCTTTTCAGAAATTTATTAACAGCAAGTGGTACTCTCTCATATTGCAATCTTGCATCCACCTCAAAGAATCTCAAAAAACCTTCCAACCTTATAGATCAATAAATGTTTTTGTTTTTTTCAATGCCCAGTAGCCAGGATGAGATTTTACTGTAGAATGAACAAAATCTAGGAAAACCATGATCTTCAGAATTCAATTGCAAGAATGTGTGCATATTGTTGAATGGTATTAATTAAATCTGATCGATTTACAATAAATTTCATTGCTGCTTCAAAAGAGATTTTGAAAATGAAAAAAAAATGAAATTTTCACATGAAGTCCTAACAATCATTTGGCTACAAAATTATTAACCCTACATGCACAAATTAACGGGCACTTGCCTGAAGGCCTAAGAGTATCTATGGCTGAGCTTTCATCCTTGTTTTCTCAATAATGGGTTACATGCACAGAATCCTTTTGAGTTAAACCAATCTGATATCACAATGGTGGGGGGATTCCCTGGGGGACAATGGGAATCAGTTTAACCAAGATAAACTTAATCCCATAGACGCCCATTATGAAAACGAATCAGTTTAAAGTTAAACGAATCTAGTGCATGTCACCCAATATTACACCTAATCGATCCACCTAACAATGACCTCATTTGGATTAGGGATTCGTTCAGCAGTTCAATCAATACAAAAGTCCCAAACATTCTATCAACCACACCATTTTGTTCTCAAAAGAAATGGGAAAAAATAACCACCTGAACGTCTCCCAAACATGGTAATAAAAAAAAAAGAAGTGTGCTCACTTGGATGAAAGAGCTTTGATGTCTGCCCTCCAGGAAGTAGCCTGGAGATTGGATGCCCCCTCTGACTCCCCTCTTGGAGGATCCTTCATGACAAACAGGATGAGGAACACGGCCACAGCTCCCAGGAAAGGAGTCACCCGCAACCCCCATCGCCAATCACCTCCCAGCGCAGCTGCCTTCGACCCAATGATGTACCCTAATCCACTAATACAAGAAAACATACAATGTGATCAATGATTACCTTTTAAATTTTTGTAAAGATGCAAATACGATTACGAGAGTCTATTCTTAATTTGCTTAGGGATAGCACTAGTTCATAAACAACGAGTGCCTTGGGATCAGAAATTCTCAGAAAATTGATATTAAAATCAAGGCTGTCACAATAGGTCGATGCATCGATAACACTATCGAAGGTTGGAGGCATCAAATGTTTTTCAACCATCGCGATGTATCGGCAAAAGGGGAAATGTCCCACTGGATTGAGGAGTGTTCAGTACAATACAGTCCGCCCGGGCGGGGAAAGGAAGAGGCGGCGTGAACCGCACGGGCTAGCAATTTCTTATCATAACAAATTCTGGAAATGCCAGGACTGACTACAAGAAAGACGGGAAGGAGAAAAAAAAAAACATGTTGGATCGGAGACAGGAAGTAGGAAAGGAGAGTAAGGGAAGATGAGAATATTTTTTTCTCCTTTGTTTCAGTCTTTGGCTCGATCTCATCAGGTGCATGCTGCGGAAGTGAACAGCTCGTATATTCCCTCGACTACGAAACGTACATTGGTTAATCCCCCTCTATATTTCTGTCTTCCTCTTTAGTATGCAGGCTAAAGTTTTTTCATTGACTCGCCCCGGAACATTCACCTCTTCAATGAAGGTGAAGAGGTTAATGCCCCTTCACCAATGTGAATTTTTTACATGGACGTTGCGTATTCTAGGGCTGTACCGATGTTTTGGCAACCGCCGGTATGACACCATCGGCAGGTTTGCAATCTGACCTGTCCAAAGAAGACCGTGCAGAACGAAGAAAATAGAAAAATAAATGACGTGAACGGGCTTGACAACTGATTCTCAACGACGATAAGAAAAAATCAGTGCTGTCCTGATGCATCCATCGAAGAATGGATGTCATCTTCGGTAGTGGGAGGCATGGTAAGTTTCATTACTCCCTGCGAAGGTCACACAAGCGTCAAGATCACAAGTGTGAGATTATGGAAGACGGATAGAGGTCCGCGCTCCGCTCGAGGCAAGAAACGACGGGAGACAAACCTCCGTCCGGTCGCGACAAGAAAAGATTGAATCTTCCGACGAAGCAAACCCCCCCGATGCATCGATGTCTGAAAACTGCTACCGTGACAGCCCTAATTATAATCATATAATCCCTAATACCATCGACAGGAAATGCTTGATGGAAATTTTTTAATACTCCATATGCAAATGCCCAAAAATTATTTACAATGGAGAAATCCATGCAGCTGTTTAAAGCTGCATGGATTGAGCTACATGTAATTGGAACTAAGATACTTATAATTGAAATAAGTACTTTTTTCACCCAGTTTCTAAGTAAAACTGAAACTACACTACACTGTGACATAGAAGAAACAGAATCTCCATATATCTTGAATGCACCCCATAACCATTGTCAAAGACGAGTAAGCTCACCTCCCAACTGGTATGGCAAAGTAGAAGACGGCCAGCATGCGGGACCTCATGTTCCCCACAAAGAGATCACTGATGATTGTCGGGGAGATGGTAGAATAGCTTGCCTCCCCAATTCCCACCATTGCACGACACAATGCGAACATGTAAAAACTCTGACAGAAAGGGAAAAAGAGCAAGAGTGAATGACACCTCAGAATCCAGTTCCCTGCATTCAACATATGCCAACACTAGTCATTTCATATTGCCATGAAAGACAAAGACAAAAGCTGATATTGTGGATATTTGCACCTTAACTTGACCAGTGTACCCTTTGTGATTCAATTTCACCACAGGATGTATGCCCATCAGGTCAAATTTATTTTCAGCACAAATGAGGAAAACAGGATGATTGTTTTTTACTCTTTGAACTACTCTGCTTTTCATCTCCTTCAACTACTTCAAGAAAAACTGCCCAACATCTAGAGCTTGCTGTAGGAGCTCCAACATCAGAGCTAGCAGGAATACATATGCATGAAATTTCTGCAGCACATACAACATCAAAGCAGAATAGGTCCAGAAAATCACAAAGGGTTAAGAACAACTGGCACACCAACAAAATATAGATACAGAAGCTCTGACACATGATTGGCTTAAAGACTATATAACTTGCACTACTTGTAATCCCTCAAGATGTTTCAAAGAGAAATAACTTTTACCTGGCTTTGAAAATGGCATCCCTAACTTCTTAAAACATTTTCAGCATATACAACCGCTCAACTCCGGATCTATTGACATCGCCATACCAGTGCCATGGGTATCAATAAAATTAATTATTTTTAAACCATCAATGTCATAAAATATTGTCAGGCTTAAAGGAATAGGATGAGAAAATGGCATCCAGGAAAAATGTCCAACTCACTTCCATAAAGGAGCCAACTAATGTAGTTACACCCCACAGGAAGACGCCAAAGGCCATCAGCCACTTGCGGTTATACCGATCGCCAAGGTAACCAAAGACGGGAGCAAAAATCATGTAACTGACAATGAAGAGTGTTTGGAGCAGGCCTCCTCCAACATCTCCGACATTGAAGGCTTTTTGAATGTCAAGGAGAATGCCTATAGGAAGAAAGCAATGCAAAATGTTCACGGATTCATTTACTTTACACTTCAATAAGGAATTAATCTAAAAAAAACCTTTAAATATATTCAAAACCTGCAGAAGTATTTTTTTTTAAGTTGCAAAAAAAATAAAAGCACCAACTATATGCAAACTTCTATGAACTTCTTTAAATGATAACTCACCAGTTATCATTTGAGTTTTCAAAAAATTTCTGTCATGCAAAAAGAATAATCAAAAGACTGATTTTAATGAAAATTCAATGATTAAGGAGTCTTTAGAAATATTAAAGTATAGGAATAGAGGAATGAGTCTTCATCTTGATGGGAAAACCCTCATGTCAAAATCCAGAAATTAAACCAGATTCTCAAATTCTCATTAATCAAGTGTTAAGGATAAAACAGAATATGCTACAAGGAGTAGGTAAATGTGACCCATTTTAGGCAGTGATCAAGAGTGAGAATTGAAGGAATTGTTATTGTGTGGAAAAAATATTGGAGAATGAGACTTTGCCAGTTTTTCTCATAATTCCTTCTACCTTAAACATTGACCACGTTCAAAGATTTCCCATGTGGGAATTCCTTCTTGGTAGCCTGAAATTGAAAATCTTTTAAGTTGATGCATGCATCCTTCAAACTTTTTTCTAGTTGGATTTATGAACAAGGTCAGGAATTGCCAATGCTCTCAGCTCATTCTACAAAGATGAAAGTTCAACTGATTCCCAACAGTTGTGATTTTCATTTCTTTCAACCAATTAAAGATTTAGAGATTTTAAATGTAAAACCATAGTTATGAACCAAAATGGCCAGGCTGTGGGGACTATTAAGCTTCAAGTATATTGGGGCTGAACATGTTAAGATATCACCTTTAAAAATATAAGAAGCCAAAGCATAGAAACAATAGCAAAATAAACTCTAAGTCCAAAATTTTCCTCTAGCCACATATAGCATGCTACCTGCAATGGTGAATCGGTCCATATAATTGATGAGATTCACAAAGCAGAGAACTGCTACTGTCACAATTTGTCTCCATGTGATGGATGTCTTTGCTGGTATATCCCCTCTCAGACTGGAGGCTCCAATCCCAGAAGAGATTGCCGAGAGGATCCTGGGTTGTGATAGACTGCCATCTTCGAGATTGTTTGGCAAGAGAACAGAGGAAGATGTTTCCCCAGGGGCCTCTCGCCTGGCTAACTTCGCCATGATGTAAAGTCTAGATGGATCAGCTGGGTCACCTTATTCTTGTTATGAGTTCATTCATGGCACAGAGAAAGAATGGCAGTGACTTGAAATCACACTTTTACCCAGGGGGTTATCAATCTACAAGGAAGCCATACAAGTGAACAGGATTAGCTAGGCCTGCAATTCTGTCCTAAAAAAAAAAAATCATAGGGGGTAGGCAGAAGCTATTGTGCAATTCCATCCTTGTCTAATCCCCACCCCAAAAAAATATGAAGCCCAAAATATTTTCTTGTCTCAAAAATGTTCCCGGCTGTATTATTTTTCTGCCATTCATTTACAATTAGATGCAAAGTGCATTTCCCTCATTACAGGCTGAAACTTGGATTGCAAGCATTATCAAGTAGCAGCCAATATTAATCAGATAAACTTATTTTCCTCTTCTTGGTCTATTTTTATTATCTCTCCTTTTGTTCTTCCCTTGCTGCTTAAAACACCAAAAAAACGTTTTGAAAGTAAAACAAACTATATACCACTACATCTTAAGAAATACCCACTTTTCATATCAATCTGGCCTTTCACTCAATAACAATAGGTCAGAAGCTCCTTCATGCTTATGGTGTAACATCCTGGAATACATTATTCCCTTACATAATACATGATCACCTTGACTGGTATGGCATCTTTGACAGGCACTTCCTTACCACCAAGCTGTTCCAACATGTCCGAACTGCCTCCCCCCCCATAGATGAGTAGCAGAGGCATAACTCCTCTTTCTGTAGTTTTCCTGAGAACCTGTTTTGATCTTCCTTTTCATTCTTCCCCATCCTCTTCTCATTTACATTACATTTAGTTCAAAACTGCCTTCTCAATAGGACCCAACTCAATTTGGTAAAAGTGCAAACCTTTTTCCACCCCTGCAAAATTCATGGACCTGCCTAACTCATGAAAGCCAAGGACACTTTTACATATATGCTCTACAGTGATAAGCCAAGGCATGGGCTACAGTCATGTTTAAATATCCAAACTTGCAGTAGCTTTTCCAGACGTGTCAATTTTTTCTGTACTTTTCCACATCTGTTCCACAGCCCCAAGAACCCAGATTTGGTAGAAGTGCATTCTGTACCCCAAGAAGATTTATGAGATTTGCTTGCACGATGTGCCACTCCTGTGCACTCCCCCTCTTCTGAACCTATTTTAGGGGTGTATGGTTCGTTTGTCACCACCACCCCCCCACCCCGGGGCTCCTTTCTGACCTTCAGTCCGCTGTCACCACCCTTGTAGCAACAGTCGAAATCACCCATCCCTTTAACGTGAATAATCAATTAAGCGGATCTGGAGCTATGCGTTTCAGTTTCTTTCTCATTGAAGTCTCAAGAGCCCAACAACTAGGTCTAATGCTAAAGGATACCACCTTTTCAACTTCGTTCAAAGTAATGCTAATCGAGATGCAAGGTTTAGGGATGCGAAGCGGCAATTCTGCCCGTCGTGAACGTCCCTTGCAGAGATCGAGGGAACATTTTAAGTCCTCTACCGCAGAGTCCACCTGGTACCTATTCACATACATCTATTGCTCTATTTGTCTCGTGCAGGCATCTAACCTACTTTCGCGGTAATTATAATTTCAAATTATAAATCGTTAAACTGAATGGAATCGGTTAGAAACTGCAATAGCCAACTGTTCCATGGTCGAGGGCTTCGGCTCTTAAGAAAGACACTCGGCGGCGGCGAAATCGGCGCGAAGTAACGTAGACGTGGTCTAACTCGTTAGGCCTAAGCAAACACACACTGTATTCAAGAGGGGTATATGATAACCGCGACACTGCCACGGATGCACTCATCCCAATCCCAAGGAACAACCAAAGAGTCCACCTCGGAAGCACTGTGCCGTCTTTCCCCGAAAGCACGAGAATATCCGGGTAGCGGAGGAAAAACCACGTCAACGTGTCACATGATGAAAAAGCGGAGGCGAGGACGAGTCATGCAGCCGGCTCATGGGGGAGCGAGCGGAGATGAATGAAGGGAAGGCGGAATAGAAGCAACCGACTCCGTAGTACGAGTGACGTCATCGTGTCGTACGAGGTGGCCTGATCCTTTCCCCCAATCGCCGTCGCCCGGGCCGAGTGGAGTCCGCCTCGGCGTAACCGATTGCGATAGAGTCCTTCGCGGTAAATAAAAATTTGCTCCCGGCTGTTTTGCTTCGTACGGGACTCTCTGCCTCCGGACTTCCGTGTGCGTGCGTGTGCGACACGCCGCCTTAAAACGGTGGCGTGAGAAGCCACGCGAAAGAATTTCACACATTCCAGCATTTTCACATTTTCCTCCTTCGATGTCTATTCTCGGGCTCGATGACGGGACGGGCGGGTGAGTCGAGCCGAGAGTTTCCTGCGCTATTTCCGTTCCTCCGATCCATGAACTTCTCGATTCGTGCGAATCCGATCGCGGCCTCGTTCCCGGGGACGTCCGCGCCGAGCGGATTCGAGCGCGAAATCGGAGCCGCGTTCGTCGGGGAAACCCGGGAGACTCGTAGCCTCCCACGCATCGCCCGGGCGAAGGTATATCGTTTGGCACGCTCGCGACGTGGAACCGTGTCGAGTTGGCATTTTTTCTCTGGCCGGAAGCCAAGGTCACTCCTCGATCCTTGGGAAGCCCCTTCTGACCGCATCGACCGAAATCCCGAGCGGGAAGGGGCTTTTGCGGGGATTTCGCCTTCTCGGTCGGGCGGCGTGTCCTTTTCGCGACCGCAAGCCACGCACGTCCTCGTCCGTTCTGCCGGCTGCGCGTCCGGACGTGCAGGTGGCGATCCGAACGACCTCGGACTCGCATGTGGGAGAAGTTTGAGATTTATGGACGACCCTCGATGTCTCCTCGACGCGGAACGCGGCCGTCGACACTTTCCGTGTCGAGGTCGAGCGAACGTTTAGGGTGAGATGGGCCGACCCCGAGTAGATGTTGCTATTTCCGTGCGAGCGTATCTCGGCCCGGTCGTCTATCGCACGATTCACCTCGTGCCTATTTACTCACATCTATCGCTCCCCTTGTTTGTCATACCGTCGTAGAAAGCATTTAAGATTCCCATATCGGTAGTCGCGGCGCGGGACGGCCACGATATCGTCGTTTACGGCATTCCACGCCTTCGCCACCGTGCCAAAAAAAAAAAAAATTCCGAAGTCGGGAAAGACGCGGGAGTTTCCGTCTCCGAGATGGATCCCAGAGTCGCCCGCATCGATCTCCGTCGGGTGAACCTCGGCAGAGGGGAAAACGAGGGTCGACCGTCGAGTCGGGCCGAGAAAATGGGGAATCTCGCGCGTCTGTTGCCAAGAGACGCGGTAGGAACTCGAGACGCCCAGATTCCTTTTCTCTCGGAGGAAAGGAATCGGCACCGAGTCGGACCGAGATCCGAACTTTCGCCGTCGACGAACCGAAACGACTGCGTCGTGCCTTCGAGGAGGAACGTGGAAGTCGGGTCGGTGGGGTCTTCGACGCGACGTCGCATGGGCCCACGTAGAGCGGTCGGTCGGCCCACGTGGACCGATCGGTCGGCCCACGTGGACCGATCGGTCGGCCCACGCGAGCCTAAGCGGCCCGAGCGGTCCGAGCGGCATCACGATCCCCCGTTCTCGCAGGATTCACCTTTTCTCTTCTTTCTCCCGAAGCCGAAGGCCACACGGAAGAGAAGGCAGCCGACGAGGAGACACCCCGGCGACACGCTACTTCGAGCCGACGTCGGCTTCGAGAGGGGGACAGACGCGTGAATCGACGTCCCGGCGGTCTGCCCGCGTGCCTGGCCCCACATCGGCACTCGTGCGACCGCCGACGTTTCCCCATCCTGCGGGCGAATCGTCGATGCGAGCCGTTCGAGCGAACCAGGTTCCCACGGGCAAAGAGGGACGGAGTGAAAATCGTGACGACGTCGGCGGTTCCAGGGATCGGAACGCCGGTCCGCCTCCGGCCTCGTCCGCCGGGCGGTGACCGCGGGCGATCCGACCTCATCCTCCGAGGATGAGGATGTGGATGTTTTCGCCCGTCCGCCGCGTCGTGTCGGTCCGGGCGAGGCGAGAGCGACCGTTCGGTCGGTCGCACTCGACGAGCCCAAAGAGAAGGGGGAAAAACCCGTCGAGTGATGAGATCGGGATCTCGTCCGAGTAGAAAATGAAAGTCTTCGACGGTCGAGGCAGACGGTATTCCTTGTATTAGTCGGACCGAGAAAAACTCGACGACCTTCTACTGATGTGGAAATCTATTCCGTCTCCCCATCCCCCCCCCTCCACCTCCACGTGGCAATAAGGTCGGTGCAAATAGCCGCGCCGATATCGGCCCAGGTAGTAATCTCGATGATGGTTCAAGGTGTATATCGGCGGTCAACATTGGGGGGAGGGGGAGG